TTCACGAGGAGGTCGCTTACTTCTTCCACATTGCCAAGGAGATAGCAAGATTTCGTGTAATATTTAGAAGGATTACCATACTTTTTGTGGTACCAATGCCACTTATCATTTTCCTACAGTTGATAGACAGATCTTTTACGTGCCGGGCTACTTCAAAGAGTTTGGGGGTATGTGTGTGTGAGATAACGAGTGAGAATATGACAGAGATATGTACCATCGTCCTGTGTCGTTTGAGACTTTATTTGAAAAGATAATTCTCGATTCTGAGAGTGGCTTTCTGGATGGTATTAACAGATGCTGCCAGTTCGTCTCATGGTACGGTGGATTATGGATGTCTAATATTAACCATAAAACCCCACAATGGTTATATAGCTTTAACAGGCCGTATAGTCTTGAAATGATAGTATTAGATAGTCTGACTTCTAAAAGCCCAACACGGATAACTGATTCATTTTTGATCCGCTGTACGACTTTTCCAAACTTTGTCCAGCTCGGTCAGTCACATTATTTTAAATGATTTCTTTAAAACACTTGTCAGTATCTAATAATATGGACGACAGTTTTATGATGTTATCATGACGACCCATATGAGCGATATCAGTATCGTTGTCATAAAGACTTAAGAATAAATATTTGTTTCTCAAGTTAGAGAGTAGTTGTGATTCGTGTTATTTTGAATGCGGTTGACTATCAGTATGTTAAGAATTATTTTATTGGCTATAAAAAATTGCGATGATCAGTTCAATGACAGAAATAATGAACGCGACTGGAATGTGAATAGTGAGATATTTGAGAAGTTAAAGATATATTCTTTATGTGTTTCTGGAAGGCGAGCTTGAAAATACGTTGATTTCAAACTCTTTATCAAATTGATGTTCACATATCCTGATTGTTTAATTCAAATCGCATCAACGTAATCTTAGAATATCTCACGTTCATCTTGCATTATTTGTTGATATAACGCGTGTGTTCTCAATTATCCTTTCCTAGTATTGATGTTTTGGTTTCATTCATTTGATTTAGTGTAAGTAGTTTTGAAGAAGGATGGTTCGGATGAGTATGAGTACAAGTAAGTATAGTATATGAAGTTATCTATCTATCTTTTATCAAACTAGACAATATTGTTTCACTAATACACTGTATATGTCTATACAACATTGGGTTGTGAAAAACTCATCTAGAATATTCAATGATATTGTGAACGTATAAATGTATCAAGTTCTGAACAAGAATCCTAATGTTTGGTACAATCCAAATAGTTATTCTCTTTGTATCATTGTTTACACTACTTATTGTATAATATCATACATATCTTTCAATAAGATTTCCAATGAAGATTGTAACAACCGAACTACCAGTATTCAGGCTGAACGCAGGACTGATGAAACAAAACGTATTCGAATAAGTCAGACTACGATCTTCTGTATAGCTCGCCAAGCGTTTTGAGACACTCGTATTAAATTATATCAAAACACAAATTCTGTGCTCAATTTATACGGTTCTAATTTAGGAATATAACAAATTATATCAAAAATACGAAATACCTCAAACGGTACAGCCTGTGCTATACAGTCAGAAGTTTCTCTAACGCAAAGTAGTGCGCTAAACAATGAAATAAACAGTCAATACCAGAGGATTTGATACCTGAAAATCAACAAATATATTCCCAACAAACGGGATCAAATATATTTCTGCAGGGATTCCAGAAATCCTCCCAAGCAGACAGTCAAAAGGTTAACAGTCACACTGAATCACGCCATGACTTTGAGCTTAGTCAAACACGACCTCACTGTCAATAGTCTGGCAACATGCAATAAAAATTAAGGTAACAAAAAGACAAGTATTTAATCAAAATCACATAATAAAAGCTCAAACGAAATCTGAACAAAGGTTAAAATATATGACAGGGAAAAGAAACAAATAAATGAAAATACTGTCCAACAAAAAAGGCTGTGGAGGGATTTTCATTGTTCTCTTTCCGTTACAAAAATGGTGTTTTTAAGCGCATAACCCGTTGAATAGTCTCTTGTTGCCCACAGTATTGCACACCATTCATTTTTCAATATAAAAGACATTGAATCGAAACTAATAATTTATTAATACCGAATCGATTTATGAATCTGTTAGACGCGTACATTATGTGTATAACTAATACTTGATGATTTAATTCAATTTATTGATCTAAAACGTCACTATAATTTATCTGAGAAGATATGAGTTCATATAGAGTATCTCCTGTGAAACGAGAATGACATTCTTGAAATTACTTCCATTGAACTTCATAAATCAACCAATCATAGTTTGCAATTCATCAATAATTAACTAATATCGATATCACCAAATATAAGTAACGTCTGCTTACTTTTTAACTCAGAAGTTAAAAAAGTAAGTATCAAGTTCTTATGTTAGCTAATTATTATTAAATCGGTTAATATGAATGAAGATACAATACAATCGTTATATAATGATTTCCATATTCAGTGTGACATATTGAGGTAGGAACATACCATCAGTGAAACGATAGTAGAATAGTTGGAGAGTAATGAGTTGATGTGAAAAATACTTTCTAACTCAGCTTAATCACAACTAGGACTGAAAATGAGAAATCCGATTTCAAGTAGTTTTCAAACAAATCTCTCTGTGATGGAAACTATTGGAATTTGGAACATCTTATTTTCAGAACAGTATCACATTCACACAGGATTCCCAGTGATATGTTTAACATTCCTAATTCGAGAGAGAGTTAAATCTCTGCTTATATTGTCGAAACTGTATTTCGATTCCATTCTTATCAATTGAATAATGCAGTCCGATCAGTCTTTAGAATTACATTTAACTGGATGATACACGGTAATGCGAACTGTTGGATGTGTGTAGCGTTGGTTTCCGTCCTCATGGACCAGACATCCAACGTTCGAATGCGACACTGGATATACTGTTCGATTCAAAATGGGTGACTGTCGTGAACACACTCTGCTGAATCGTCTCATTCGGTGACAAAACAGTCGTCTGTCTCTTGTCCCATATTGATTGGTTAGTGATCTCATCGAAGGCTTCAATTGGTGACTTCGATTCAAGCTTGTAATTCATAGTAGTCGATTAATTTACAAATCAAACACTGATGACATTGATCCACTTTCACACTACAAACTAGTGTGCATGCAATTGTTACGTCAATAAACAATTTTGCAATAAATAAGAAATGCATATGTTAAGTGAATATCGTCTAAACTAGATGACATGAACGCGTTATAATGTGGCTTATGATATTTCATTGATAAAAGGTTGTAATATAGACTCATCAATGATTTATTGACTGTTTTACAATTTCCAGATAATATCGCACATTTCTGATAATCAATCCTTATAACTCACGTCCAATCACCTCTGTAATAAACATCATGCGTAAAATTTCTGATATAGTTGTACGAAATGATATATATGCATTGACAGTCAAATTGTTGTACAGTGTATCAATTATTCTGTTGATCATATGGTCGATCAACATTGTACCAAGTCTCTTTCAATGGAGAATCAATCAAGTCGATCATGATGTAATACCTAAAACAATAGAATTTTTGTGCAGCAATATATCTGTTCCAAACGGGTCAGAATCGGATCTTTCTAGTTTATTGCACAAAATATATTCCCCTATCAGTAAAACGTCCGTTCAAAAATACCCACTGAGATTCAGTCTGGAAGAAAATAGACTGGAGAAATTATATGATTCATTGGGTATGAATAAGACGGTAAGTTGATCAGTAGAAATATTCTTTGACGTTGAATAGAATGACAGTCTTTTGATTAACTGATCCTTACTAGTTATTCATTGATTTTTCAAAATGACCGAGATTATGTGTGCGAAATATTTGTTGGCATTGTTCAATGTCATAGTAGTTTATGTCACAGTGATTCACTCAGCACCAGGTTTGTTGTTGAATCATCACAGAAATTTTGGTTGAGAGATGATGTTTGTAAGTGGAATGTGTATAGTGAGATATTTGAGAAGTTGAAGAGAGATTCTTTAAATGATTCTCGAAGGCAAGTGTGAAATCGCGTCAGTTTCAAACTCTCCATCAGATTGATGTTCATATCTCCTGATCGTTTCATTTAAATTGCATCAACGTAATCTTCGAATCCCTCACGTTCATCTTGTGTTATCTGTTCATATAATGTGTGTTTTCTCAACAATGGTTTCCTCTTATTATTGTTTTGGTTTCATCCATATGATTTAGTGTAAGAAGCTTTGAAGAAGAATGATTTGGACGAGCATAGCTTCGAGTGTGTTCTTAAGAGAGTGATCTCGGATATTTATTGATCTGTCTAGTTATAACTGCACTTGTGCTGTTCAATTGTTTAGAAACAGTTTCTTCTGTTCTGATTGATTGCACTAAATGTGTTCGTAATTTTGAAATCTGTCTTTTTATTCAAATGCATTCCACTGAAGGAATGATAAAATTCAGTTTGTAGTATTGGTATTCGAACGTATTACAGAAATGTAATGATATAACTGTTTGGATGTATTTTGTACTAACTTCAACTCTTAGACACCATTTTGTGAAAGGTAACTACCATTTCAGTCCAAATCATTTTCATTCAAGTAACACAGAATTCGTTGACATGAATGACATCAATAGTAAAACTTACCATCACAGCTAACCGTCAAGATATATATCTTTGATAGACTGGTAGTGAATTATCCCATTGTTTATAATCTTATCTGTATTTTGATGAATCTCTGATGAAAAGAATCTCGAATCCCAGTTTCCAATGCTGTTCATTACTATATCCATTCCATAAAACATTGGGACATGTGTTGTTTAGTTAAATTTGAATTTGACGAAATCATATTTTGTGCGTACGATTGCAGAACTATGTATGAAACAGATGTTAGATATGATGCTCAAGAAATTTTGAAAATCAACACCTGAATTTGTATTCTACTCATGTTTCAGGTTAAAACGTTTCTCAACTATGGGCATTTAATACTTTTTACGGAAATGAATTTTTCAAAATGTCATGCCTCAAAATGTGCAGTTATCGAAGACAGGAAGAGATGGCGAGAAGTTGATGTGCTTCTGCTAACAGACGGCCGTCCACCAGATGGAATCCGGCCACCAGGGCAATTATGGTTTGCTGCTAACGAAGATTCACCACTACATATTCCCATGGCAGATTCTCTGGAAAATGAAGTTAGTAATTCTGACCACAGTAATATTACTAATATTTGTAATTTCAATTCCTTCAGTCACCAACATTTACCATTTAATATTATGTTATATTACAATGTGAATACGGTCGTATGTAGCTGACGAGCACTACAAAATGAGGATGGATTCATGTTACTCAACGAATAGTGTCACTATTTATACGAATATTCGTCAAGATTAGAACGAATAGTTTGACAGATATCGGGCGCCGAGTATAAAGAAGTCATTATAAATTATATTTGAAATAATCTCAGCGATTGAAATTTGAAATAATTCCAACGTTTCGTCCAGCTAACTTGTCTGGACTTCTTCAGGGTAATAATCAAAATCAAAATCATCAAAGAATTATATAGCTTTTTAACAATCATAACTGTACTTTGTTAAACCAATCAAATTTGGAAGTTGATTTTTGTAACATGGGATATAATGAGTCAGTTAACTCCAATTCCATTTGAAAAAGATTCAACTACATGGAAATAATTACCTGTAACAACATCTAGTGTGTGTGTGTGAGTGTGTCAGTATGTATGTATGTGTTAGATTAATTATTGATATTCTGTGTTATTATGTTATGTATGGAAAGTTAAGAAAATAACTAAAAGTTCAAGGTTAAATACTTGTTAATGAATCATCGATGTACATGTCAATATTTAAGAGTACAAATGATACATAATTGTATTGCTAAAGCCTTATTGAATTTTCAGTCAGCGATAACGATGCATTTGACATAAACAGGTTGAAAATAAAATAAAAGATAGGGTTCAATTACTTGTCCAACGATATTTGCCAGGTATTCGCCAGTTGAATACCATCTTTTCGGTTCAGGTTGTTCTTGTTCGCCCATATATACAGCGCTTCTGCTGTTAATCTTTCCCTATGGGTGTTAAAACCTTTCTGAAGTATTTTGGCCCCTTCAAAATTAATCTTGTGTCCTGTTTCTAACGCATGTAACGCTATCGCCGATTTATTCTCTAACTTCTTCAAATCAACCGAGGATTTGGGAACATTTTTCAAACATTGTTTGTGTTCCTTCAACCTTACATTCAATTGTCTAGATGTTTCTCCAACTTAGGCAGCGTTACAATTATGACAGTTGATCTCATACACTACATTCTGTTGTTCTTCCTTTGGTAATATGTTTTGACTTTCACTAATGTCGATCTTAAGGTGTTAGTCGCCCTAAAATATATCATGTTTGTTCAGGATCCTTTTTATTTCTTCTGATGTTTCACTACGGTATGGTATGACTACGGTGTACTTCCACTCTTTTCGTATAACTTCTAGTTTCGTTTTTCTCCAATTTTTAATAATCTTCTTTAAAAACTCTTTTGGGTAGTTGTTATCCCTAAGAGTAGATAATACTTTATTTAATTCAGTTCGTTGATCTTCCTTATCTGTAACAAGCTTTGTGCTTCTGTTCATTAAATTTTTTACTACGTTAATTTTCGTGCATTGTGCATGTGCTGAATCAAAATCTAAGTATCTCTCCGTGTGTGTCGGTTTCCTGTAAACACTATTCTTCATTTTAATCCATGAAATGAACTAATTGTGTGAAGATTATGAGTTCCCATAAAACACCTACCTAGGCGTCAATCAACAGTAGAAGTTGTCCAGGCAAAACTTTTAAACCTGGTTTGCTTTAGCACACATGTTACACTGCAGTTGATTTTATAGGAGAAATTTTGCAAGAAGGTGCATTAATAAATCATTTCGTGTGCAATTTGAGGTTACAATTTGTGGTCATTGTTCAAAGTCAGCTGAAAACATTCATTGATTTGATGGATATTCGTTGATTAGTTCATGGAATTTTATCTAGTTTTCAACTGAAGTTTCAATTATTCGAATGAAAATAATGTTCATCTCTTGGCGGAACGCCATCGAATTCATTTCACCATCTTAGACTATTATGGCAACTATCTTACAACCAATTTCGATGACGGTTAATTTTGGTTAAGCCCTTTTGTTGACTTACCGTTATGATCACTAGATCACATGACAGACACTAGCTGAAATGTTGATCGCTTAAATATCACTGAATGGTGATTCATTCACCTCCTCAATATTATAAGTGTCTGCTTTGCCTTGCTGCACCCTTATGCGATTTTACTACAAATGGGCTTACATATTTGCTCGTATATATACGTATTCACCTCTCTGCTGCAAATTCGCTTGATGTGCTTATAACAATGTGATCTTCACTATCCACTAATAAACTGTAGTTGCCACTTGTCATTGCCTTCTGTTTTCAAACACCGTTGAAATTTATATGGTAACGGTTACAAGAGTGATTGGTTAACGATTCACAGCCACTACGCTATCATTTCTCACTACCATATGTACTGATATGATGAGTGTGCATTTCCGGATAATTTGCATGATGTTTCATTTATAATGGACGGTTGAAATCGGTTCACAAATGAAGCTTAATTATTTGTGATGATGTGTTCTCCGAGTTAGATTGTTTAACACCGATGTTTGCAATGTCATTGGCTACAACAATGTCACTAGCCAGTTCATGTGAGGTAGGGAGTTTTCGTCGATCTTCTACAATTATATCAGTTTATTTCTGTGGTCAATTGCAAAGAAGGTGATCAGAGCGAGTTGAATTGACACTGGGTTGTAAATCGTCTGAGTCATTTCAAAATGATGCTATACTGTACATCACTGATTTGATCCTCGTATCGAGATGGTAATTAGTAATTATATCCTCTTTAGTTTTGTCGTCTAACGGTTTCACACTCTATGTATATAGTATATTATGTAATATAGCAAAAAGAAGCAGAAGAAGCTTGAGTGCTTGCAGTGATGTAGTGAGAGCAAACTAACTTGTGAAAACATTACTTTTAAGTGACAATTCACCTGTGAAACAGAATTACAGCCTTGTCAAATATATTTAGTTCATAATCGTAAAACGGTAGATATACATCTTCTTACTAGGTATAAAGGATAATTCGACAACATCTCCATTAAACAATTAGCTTGTTTTCGATTAGCAAGCATATAATATATTCGCCTTCACTTAGATCATTAAATACCATTTGATTGAAAATTTCTTCAATATGTTCATAACATCGATATAAAGGAGTGACAGTCAAATCATACTCTCAGTATATTTTCATTCTACAGAAAACCGACAGTTCCCGAAATATTATTGACCACACTATTAGAGGATATTCTGATAAATGTATGTAATATGCCACAAATCTTTGCAATATGTTTCCTTAAACCTGTAGTTAGGATTTAATAGCTTCAGGCTGCAAATCTAAAAACCAGTCAGCATCGTTCTTTGGCTGCGTTCAAGACATTTTCGGGAGCTTACTTCATTCGAATCATTATGCTAACATTTATTTGTTAACATTAGATTTCACTGTTGACGTAGATTCATTGAACAAGTGAGCTCTTTGCCTTGTTCATTATTCATTTGTACATATATGCCTGATGTCCGTTTAAACTAATCAGTAAAACTTTCCGTAAACAGTTTCGACGTGTCATTCATGTCACCATTATCGGAACGAGTTTTTATCATTTCGTTTGCATTTATGCCACTAATTGACACAAATGGATCTGCATAATAAATAGACTGTTAGAGATTTCGATTTGTCCACATGAATCACAGATGTAGCTAATTACATGTGTCATGTATATTCACGAGCAAGACTAATCTAATTGTAAATATTCCTTTATTCTGGACACAATACATATACACTTACCTTTGAAAATCAGGAAGCACTGAACAGATATTTCATCTTACTAGAGAACTCTTGAGCATTGTAAATGCACCAACACACCAGCGGTCGGGAACAAAACATTCAGGTCTGTACCGTTAATCTATAATTCAAAACGACAAAAATCAACAATATCCACGAACCACTTTAGTAAAACATTATTGTAATATCAAAACTACTAATTTGCAAATTCATTTCAATATACATGATATCATTTTACTTCAATTTATCCCTCTGACATCAAGATTAATCACACTATCTCCTTCCGTTTGGATTCAACGATTTATTCGCCGTACGGTTCCTATGAGCCATACATAAAGCACCATGGACTGGAAACACGATATCCTTTGCCTTCCAGAAACTTTGCTACTGGTAAATCAAAAATGGTTGCATGGTTTGTGAGTAACTGTATAGCGAGAAGTCCAAGAATGCAATACGCCAAAGAACTTTCACGACATATCCCGGTGAGTTTAACAAAGCTTAATTTTGTGTTTCTACACATTTTTCAATAACCTCAACGAAACGAATAATTGACGAAAGTCAAAATGTTTCTAGCATAAATAAAATAATTAGAACGATTTGAATTACTTTACGAACTAAGAATTCCCGAAACAGCGCAACCTAAGTAGACAGAACTAGGTGAGCACTAACTAACGTAATGTGTTTGAAATTCGAAATCAGGCAGACATTGGGCATAGAGCTATCATTAGTTCATACAAACACCACAATGATGCATGCAGTACTTGTCACTTGGAACTAATCCGTGATGAGAGTGATCTTCATGTTGTTAATCCTGTAGTTTCAAAAGAAGCAGAGGTTTCGTAGTTACTGATTGGTCATATACTGTTGAAGATGATTTCATCGAATCGTAATTTTGTAGGGAACTGTGTAACTGGATTAATATCATCACATGTGACTATTCCATAAATTAGACTCACGAGATTACCAATCTCGGTATTCTTACACCATACTCAGTGATCACCCAATTTTATGTCCATGTATTATATGAATGAACATTTGTGGAATCACCGTGTTCATGATGGGTATTTAGAAATCGTGGATACAGAAGTGCTGATGTTGAGAAGTCGCTAGTTAGGACGAAATGGCTGGGCAGTGCTCTCACGTTTTTACTGATGTTCTAGTTTAGATCTGCTTACGAATTCAACTAGTAAAACATATGCACAGCAAATTCGATGCGGTTACCAGCTCGATCATTAAAACATGTAATTTATCTGTTCCATAGTTCACCGAATTATTTTCTATTTTCAGCTTGATGTTTATGGTGGTTGTGGTTCCTTTTCGTGTCCAAAGGATTATGAGACGTCATCAGATAGCTGTTTGAAAATGATTCGCGAAAATTATAAGTTTTATTTGAGCTTCGAAAATAGTTTGTGCACTGAATACATAACAGAGAAGTTGTATAAAAATGCATTGAAGTAAGTGGTTTGGCGTTTATCTTGCATTATAGTGTAATCAAAGTTATGAATTTATCTATATGTATGCATAATCATGTGTGGTTGGAAACTAGAAAACAATTATTGTTTTCTGATCTAAAAGATCATGTTTCACAACAATAAATAAAAATGATGGCGGACTAATGCTTAGCACAGTAGTCTTCTGATGGAGGTGATGAAAGTCACTACATAATCTTAACAAGTTGGTAATCGTTATATTAGAGAGTGGAAACTGTAACAAATCAAGTAAGGCCACATAGAGAAATATACAATTTGAATACAGCACCTAGTTCCGGTTCACTATTGTAGACAAATAAAGATTCTTCAATGTGAAATAGATTTCAGTGAGGTCTTCTGAGGATGTTTAACAGAATATTGCACATAATATAAAATAAGGAATCCAATGCTCAATACTCGCAATGAACTTCACATTAGAGAAGAGAGGATATGAGAAGTCCATAACAGATCTCATTTGAGCACTTCGACAGGTATCTTCAAATATCAACAGTGATAGTGCTCTAACAACTTCTGTATAACTAGTTCCACAAAGACACAAATTCATACACAATTGTGAGTTTAAACAATTTACTCTTCAATCAGAGTGATGTGGGTAAAAGATTCATGACGATGAGGATAGTTTTGAAGAAAAGCCGGTCGACAATAATGCCATTTGAATTGTCATCATCATCAACATATCTTTACCTTTCAACAGTTCAAAGACTTAACTCATAAACACCAAAACACAATAGTCCGTAATATGTTATGTCCATGATGGAAGAGCATCTTTGATTAGGATTATTCAATAAACTACTAAGCTGAATAATGGCTCAGTGTACTGAAGTGTCTGCTACACACATGTCTCCATCAGATCATGTTACTGAAGAGAGTGTAGTCAAACATGGCTAAAACGGCCTTTCGGAGACTAATGTGTATTGAGCAATCATAGTCTATATTTCTCGGCATCTGTCAAGTCAAAATAAAACGGTGAAACTGGCAAAATCCAAAATCTCATCTCCATCGTTCTGTAAGTTGAAATTTTGACATTTTCAATGTATCTGCATATTTTGCGAGTGTTGATGGTTCACTTGCATGATGAGATGTTGATCAGTATTTAACAAATCGAAAACTTATTATTCACTCCTAGAAACGACATACTTCCTATTGTGATGGGTGCCTCGATCGAGGAATATGAAAGAGTCGCTCCTCCATATTCGTTCATTCACGTTGATCAATTCGAATCACCAGCTAAACTGGCAGAATATTTGAAGTATTTGGACAAGAACGATACTGCATATAATGAATATTTTGCATGGCATGGTCATGGGGTAATACATGATTTCTATGAAAAGCTTCAATGTGCAATGTGTCTGCTAGCTCATACATCTCATGCGTTTGGTCCATATTGGGTTCCGAGAGTGACACGATGGTGGAATGATGGATGCAACGGTCGGAAATTGCGTTGGAATCCATGAATTATGTATATTGACAAAACTATACTGTTTTCTTCTACACTGTGATTAATTTCAATGTACATAACGTTCTTGTGTTTTATTCACTTTATGATTTAAATCTAAATGTATTTCTACGAGATTCATATGATCGTGATATTTTTCATAAAAACAATCATCACCATGTGAAATGATTGCGAATTAACTTAAACGCGTATACTACTCACAAAACGTCTTAATAGTATAAATTGAAATTTCAAGTTATTCACATGAATCTAAATGAGTTAATGGGACAAATGTAAATATTAGTCAGTTGGTTAAATGTTAAAAAATAGTCGTGTGAGCGAATGGGTAATAATATGAAAGGGTTATTTGATTAGACATGTGATTAGACTGAAGAATCTGTACAAACCCCTTATATATGGAAGTGTGATAAGGCGACCGAATTACTTTGTACAGAGGCATCAATTGTACTTTATATGTTCTGTTTAACTCAAGTACAATGGTACAGCTAGAATGAACAATTTTAAAGTGGAGATTTAACTTCGTTGATCAATTGGTTGTTGAAGACACGAACAGCACGATTATGTATTCCCATAAATTCATTATCAACTGTGTCATTATTTTTTCATATGTTTCGGAGTCCGTCTATGGATATTCTAAACAAAAATGATTGGCGGCTAGCAGTGCAACCCAGGATGTGCGTTTCATCCTATTTGGCACTCGTCAGCTGGGTGTACCTGCATCTCAGTGTTTTGGTTCACTCTGGGATTCGAACCCAGTACCGTTTGCTTCAAACGCCGTCCCAAAGTGCACATCAACTCTGAGATGCAGGTTCATCTAGCTGATGAGTCACAAATAGGACGAGACGTGCGTCAAACTGGATTCCACTGCTAGCCACCATCCATCTTTACATATAATGCTTGTGAAACCACAATAGGACAAAACGGCCGTTTAGTGCTTCAAGGTTTTCAATGGTGGTCTAACATTAATCGGTTCGTGATCACAATAAAAATAATACTGTCTGAACTTTTAACTAATATTTTTAACAATCAGTAGACATTATACATGTTATTTTGAATAGATGGAAAAATGTGAAGAGTTCATGTCAAGGACAGCAGTTGTGTTAGATAAGAAATATAGTTGTCGTAAATTAGTTTTAGTTGATGGGAATTTGATTCATTCAAAGTTATATGAAAAAGCTTATTGATGATAACATCATTGACATTCTCACCCGATAATGAGAATCTTTAGATCATTGGTATGGTTAGTATAGAAGGGAAGATCACATGGTAAATTAGAGATACGAGTTTTACTCGTCCGTTGTGAAGGAATTATTTAATACGGTGAAGGTTATTATTAATATTTTTCCTGTTTCGGGTTAGTCTGGTCGCAAATACAGAAGAGTTGCATCACTTATTGTTTTGCTGTTGACAACAAAACTTCCGAATTGTTCCTAATCTTATCTATTTGCATACTATGACAGTCAGTCATTAAAAATGTGCAGTAGTGACTGAAAAGGACGGTGGAACACAACGATCAGAAGGGATAATGAACTCAAAAATCAGTCGAACGTTTGTCCTGCTAGTATAAACCATTTTCATCATTATGATTTAATAATCATGGAAGACATCATTGCATCTATGACTGATGTGATCCAGTCTACAGTAGTAGTAGGGATCAAATAATTAGTTGCTGAACAAACTGTACGACAACAATACTTGAACCAGGCTTAACACAATTCACTTTTATAAAGGTAAAACGATGATACACACATTCAAATAAATAGTTTATAGTAAGCCCACATTTATCTGCTCACTGTAATTTAGACAATTGATCCACCATGTAAATTTCTGTGTGAGTCTGATTGAGTACATGCCAATTTTTAGTCTACTCTCCCACTGGTTGTATTACACAGACAATCAATTATTTATCCATACTTGATTAACTTTCAATAATATATATGAAATTTTAACACACACACACACACTATTGGTTCCTCTGCGTGCTTGTTCCCTGTACGCTTGAGGATTTTGTTAATCTTCAACAATAAAATATCTCTACAACTAGTGCTCAGGCTTCTAAATAATCTTGAGTAAATTCATAACTCTACTAGAAGATTTAGCCAGCGTTAAATATTCAGTTATCGGGATAACATTTATTGGAGTCAGGTATAGAGGAAATTAGCCTCTACAAAGTTGGTGACCCGCATTTAGAACACCCAGCATTTCTCTACAAAGTCTGCTGCATATTCTCCAACCATTCACTTTGGAATCGCTATTACAATTATTGACAATTCATTAACGGTCATAATAAACTCACTCATAACATTGTTCTTTTGGAATCATTGCTGTATATTCGCGCATTTAAACCCAAAGTGCCAGTTTTTCTTTTTCGGTGAGTCTCATATATATCTCTTGTTGTTATTTTTGATTTCATCAAATTGTATATTTCAATCCTCAGCTTATTATGATTATTATTGCTATTGTTATTATTTCTTCGTATCATGTCACTTGATAATTCACTAAGCCTTTCATCTAAGTCTATTTCCGTGGGTGCCATCTCTGTATCTTTACCTGTCTTTGATCCCCGAGAGGTTGAACTCTGGTTTGCATGCTTAGAAAGCTTTTTTGCTGCAAACAGAATCACAAGTCAGAGCATGAAATTTAGTTACGCAAACTCATTGCTGCCAGACGACGTTATTGAACAAGTGCCTGACGTTGTTTTCAAGCCGGACCCACACTCACCATACGATTGCCTAAAAAGAGAGGTTATTCTTTTTAGATCTCTCACCGACCAGCAGAAAATTGATTAAATTTTAGCTAATGTAGAGCTAGGTGACAGTACACCATCTCAGTGAAAACACCACATGACGAATGTATTGGGAAGTCGTATAGTAGATAGATGTCTATTATATTAATTGTGGCTCAGACGTCTCCCGCAAAACATCCAACGCCGGCGTTAAATACTCAGATAACGGTATATCATTTATTGGAGTCAGATATAGAGGATACTAGCCTCTACAAGTTCATCGATGATCTGGGAAACATATTACGATCTCGAATAACCAAGTAAACTGAATCAAATATCATTCTCGATAAAACTTAGAAAATGTGTGTGATAATCTGAACAGATTTACATCGATAATACAGAATTCAGCAACAAAAGTATGACTGCTATCCCTGTCCTAGTTGTCTATGTATAAATAAACTTAATATACAATCAATCACAAATTCATTCGGTGATTCGGATACAAGTCAACATTCATTAACTTTTATTCATGCCTAAAACATAGGCACCCTCAGTACATTATGTATTCAAGTTTTATCATTTCACGTTGGTCAACGTGAGAAGCTTAAGAATATATGAACGAAAATAAACCAAGCATCTATGTTTCAATAGGATCAGATGATTACCATAATATAATATCGACCTAGTTTAAATTTGGAAAATAAACCTATCAATAGTACACAAAGATTAAATTCTCCACCCATCCATTCAACTGATATTTTGACTGAATTTTCCGCACTTTGACACTAAGTGTCGCACACACACACACACATTACACCAAATCTCACTCACAACCTTGTTAAAATGATTGGACGTCTTGTTTAGTATACAGTGAACCGGTGAATCATATATTTTTGTAATTTTGGTGTTTGATTATATTTCCTTGAAAATACTTGGACCAGATGGACGAGTAAAACGTTGGATTTATTTAAAGTTCAGTTACTGAAATTTTCACAAGTATAAATTTCCTCCAAATGCTTTACAATAACTCAGTATTCAAATAATATTCGTTCAAATTTAGACGAAAGATCCTATTTATTCTGTCTATTTCTATGAATTTTGTGAATTATCATCGAAACTGTCAGCATTTCTTCGCTTTGCCACATATTTATCATCAACCTGTACGATTGTAAATATATGAAAATTTCTTTTTTGTTGAAGTACTAGTTCCATGAGGAAATGTGACCAATGAATAACCAAAATGATGTAATAGAAAGATTAGAATACTAGATCACGTAATGCGAATAATAACAATAGACATAGTAAGTTAGTGATGAATTACAATGTGAATGTAGTAAGATCATTAAGAATTTTTTATAGTTGAGTTCATGAGTCAATTAAAGCTAGACCATCATAGAAAACCTGGAAGCACTGGACGGTCGTTTCGTCCTGGTATGGGGCTCTTCAACAGTGTACATCTACGATCCCGCCTGCTGAATTCGAACCCAGGACCTAGTTGTCTCTCTAGCGAATGCTTACCTTGGCCTTAATTATTATTATTATTATTATTATCACTGCATTTTTCTCATAGTTTTATTCATAATCGCTCATAATAACACTTCATTTATTTTTTACAGTTCTATGATCTTTAATTACTGTAACAAAAACATTTTATCAGAAGGGGGTTTTGTGGAAAATTTAGTGATTTTATAAATGATTTTATGAGTCAATCAAAACTGGTTGAAGTTATACATTAACAAAATGGGATGCCCGCTCAGTGATCTCGAGGTTAAGCATTCACTTGAGAGTTGATATTTTGACATTTTCAATGTATCTGCATATTTTGCGAGTGTTGATGGTTCACTTGCATGATGAGATGTTGATCAGTATTTAACAAATCGAAAACTTATTATTCACTCCTAGAAACGACATACTTCCTATTGTGATGGGTGCCTCGATCGAGGAATATGAAAGAGTCGCTCCTCCATATTCGTTCATTCACGTTGATCAATTCGAATCACCAGCTAAACTGGCAGAATATTTGAAGTATTTGGACAAGAACGATACTGCATATAATGAATATTTTGCATGGCATGGTCATGGGGTAATACATGATTTCTATGAAAAGCTTCAATGTGCAATGTGTCTGCTAGCTCATACATCTCATGCGTTTGGTCCATATTGGGTTCCGAGAGTGACACGATGGTGGAATGATGGATGCAACGGTCGGAAATTGCGTTGGAATCCATGAATTATGTATATTGACAAAACTATACTGTTTTCTTCTACACTGTGATTAATTTCAATGTACATAACGTTCTTGTGTTTTATTCACTTTATGATTTAAATCTAAATGTATTTCTACGAGATTCATATGATCGTGATATTTTTCATAAAAACAATCATCACCATGTGAAATGATTGCGAATTAACTTAAACGCGTATACTACTCACAAAACGTCTTAATAGTATAAATTGAAATTTCAAGTTATTCACATGAATCTAAATGAGTTAATGGGACAAATGTAAATATTAGTCAGTTGGTTAAATGTTAAAAAATAGTCGTGTGAGCGAATGGGTAATAATATGAAAGGGTTATTTGATTAGACATGTGATTAGACTGAAGAATCTGTACAAACCCCTTATATATGGAAGTGTGATAAGGCGACCGAATTACTTTGTACAGAGGCATCAATTGTACTTTATATGTTCTGTTTAACTCAAGTACAATGGTACAGCTAGAATGAACAATTTTAAAGTGGAGATTTAACTTCGTTGATCAATTGGTTGTTGAAGACACGAACAGCACGATTATGTATTCCCATAAATTCATTATCAACTGTGTCATTATTTTTTCATATGTTTCGGAGTCCGTCTATGGATATTCTAAACAAAAATGATTGGCGGCTAGCAGTGCAACCCAGGATGTGTGTCAAGTCCTTCTTAGTGCAGATCGAATGATATCGAGCAAGTTGCAATGTGGTCACCAGTCTAAGTGACTCAACATTGTGTGCACTACGTTGAGATGAGATGGTCAGACTGAAGAATCTGTGCGAACCCATTAGAGTTTCAAATGTGACAATTTAACTTGGGTGATAAAGAAAACGATTATGTGCTCAACATAATGTACGCTATGTGACAGAAGGATAGTGATGCTGCTCGAATGGTTTGAGGGTAGAAGTTTGTCTTTGACAATCTTAAATAGAATCAAGTCGCTTAGTTCTGCATCACGTGAGTAGTCAAATGTATGTGAAGAAAACAAGCTTGGAAAATCAATCTTGGTCACATAGATAGTTATCGTGAATACGATACTCTTTGTTCTTTCTTAAAACATGTCTCTGAACTTGTGTCAAGTTTTCATCGTCTTTGTCAATTTTAAATTAGAGTTTTACCCTCGTTTCCGAGTGGATTTTAAATGACATGATGAGTGGGACAATCGGTAGTTGAGGAAATCGTAATTTCAACTACACTTCATCTACAGAGTGACCAGTGAGTGCATAAATTGCGACGAAATGGTCACTTATCAATTCTCTACTAAGTATCGGGCGACAACGATGATAGGGTTCACTTGAATATCTGACTATCAATTCGTCTCATTGGTTTAGCTGTATAACATATATTCAATGAATCTGGAAATTTTCTCATACACATTTTCCCATGCGATTCACTGGAAAATATTTATCATTCGGAAATGACACAATCTGTGATACAAACGTTCTTCGAAAGCTCTCCTACATATATATGTACCATTTATTTTCGAAAATGCCTAATTGCTTGCCAATCAATTAAACGCGTACATTGACATTTCATATTTAACCTCATCACCCATTAATTGAAGGTCATCAATTATATAACGATTTCATTCAAGACTGACGATTTTCTCGTCTCGTCATAACTATCACATATGACTTGCATGTCTACGATTATTAATGTCTAGCAGTGTAATCGAGTTTGACGCACGTTTCCTCCTATGTGGGACTCGTCAGCTGGATGTACCTGCATCTCAGAGTTGATTCTCACTCATGGACTCGAACCCGATCCCGTTCGCTTCAAACGCCATCTCGTCATCCACTTGGCTACTGAGTTCTACAATTAATAATACATTCCATAGTCGTTTTTAATTGTTTAATGATGATGAAGTGAGTGATTCAATTCGAGGTGAATTCTGCAATCAAGTTGAAAGTTCGAACAACATTTCTCGTCAATGGATGTAAATGAATCAACAGTAAGCGTAACAGAATTACATCAATGCTTTCAACTTGTGGGTTGCTTACAACACAGAAACCAAAGCAGTGGTTATTTATAAACAATGTTTACAAATATGATAATTATGGAAAATCCTTATGTACTTTACAAACTCTCTGTTTTCAAAGTGAAATTGGAAATAACACTGTCAGTATAGTTTCCAAGTAACAACAGAAATCCCACCATCTACTCGATCTGATTAGGAACTTTTGAGAGTATAAAAAAATTTCCTACTGGATTCACTATTCATATTGCTACCAACACAGCTCACATAACTACATACGTCCGTTAGCTCGCGTAGAACATGGGCTACCGACCAGGATTACAAACTCATAAATATCAAAACAGAACTGTACAATAATGATAATGTATGATAAATGTAACCATTCTTGTATAGACCATCTTGATAACAAACTCACAGTGTTTCCTCTTCATGTAGATCCGCGAATTATTGATTTGCATTTGCACAGTAAACAATACTGTGTCATTATACAAAGTAGATCGAACCATGTATGTTTCACTTAATCTATCGTGTCACTAGCTATACACACATTTAAACACTTTGTGTTTCGCACTTGTATTAGAGGCCAATAGTTCTTATTAAGGTGAAGTTCTCACATTTAATTTGAAAAGCTGAATGAAATAGAATAAACCAACAATGTTGAATTAATTTGCAAATTGTATTTTCTTTGGTGTGTGTTTGTGTGTGTGTTTGCTGTGTTTAGTATTTTTCAGTAATCTTGCATTTTCTCTGCCTAATATACGATGTTCTACTTCTGTTGTTACTTTGTGTTGAATTGATGGGAAACAAAGTGTACGTCCTAACACGTTATTTCTACATCGAGTAAACACCTAATGAGAGTGGTTATTTGTTAGTTCATCCACTGCCTTTTAATCAGTAAACGGCTGATATAAACAATTTGAATATATCAAAATGGCAGTTCAAAGACAAATGTTATTAAATAAGTGACTCGATTGTCAACAGGTAAAATCCATCGATTATGTTATAGTTGATAAAAATATGACAAATTAAATGTCTGATAGGTTATCAAATATTTCCCCTTGAAGAAGCATAGTCACTCATTCCTCTGGTTGAACATTTGAGGAGTTACTATTAATCAGCCAACAATTGATTGATCCCTGAATGGTAACCGACACCCTATGCTGATCGAATTTCATTGATCGAGTTACAATATTACTACTAGTCTAAGTGACTAAGCATCAGAGTCATTGAAATTAATGTACTCGTTATACGCTACAATGGAAAATATGTTGAGATACTTGATAATCGATTGAATTATGTTTTACATTACGATGTTTGAAATAAGGTAAACTTGTTAACACCATTGAAATTTATTGAAAGTGGATTTATGAGAAGGGGTTTTGTAGAGATTTTAAAATTAATTTCATTCGAATAATTAAGCTCTTTCTTCCTCTTCTTCATAATCTACTTAAGTTGATCTTGATCAGTTATGCGTGAAGTACATTTAGCATTCTTATACCTATGAGGATAAGATTATTTCACTTATATACTGTATATGTCTATACATCATTGGGTTGTGAAAAACTCATCTAGAATATTCAAAGATATTGTGAATGTATCAATGTATCAAGTTCTGGACAGGAATCCTGATGTTTGGTACAATCCAAATAATTCTGCTCTTTGTATCATTATTTACACAACCTACTGTATAATATCATACCTATCTTCCAATAAGATTTCTAATGAAGATGGCGATTTTAAGCGCATAACCCGTTGAATGGTCTGTTGTTGCCCACAGTATTGCACACCATTCATTTTTCAATATAAAAGACATTGAATAGAAACTAATAATTTATTAATACCGAATCGATTTATGAATCTGTTAGACGTGTACATTATGTGTATAACTAATACTTGATGATTTAATTCAATTTATTGATCTAAAACATCACTATAATTTACCTGAGAAGATATGAGTTCATATAGAGTATCTCCTGTGAAACAAGAATGGCAATCTCGAAATTACTTCCACTGAACTTCATAAATCAACCAATCATAGTTTGCAATTCATCAATTATTGGTTAATATTGATATCACCAAATATAAGTAACGTCTGCTTACTTTTTAACTCAGAAGTTAAAGAAGTAAGTATCAAGTTCTCATGTTAGCTAATTACTATTTGTTTTGTATAATGAGACAGTATTCTATACAATGCAAATGAAAATAAATAATTCAATGACCTACATATAGAAGAATGTGGTAATTAGGAGTAGTTGAATTATAGTAAAAACTAGGAATCCTAGACATAAGTCAATTTAATCAAGAAGTACTAGATAATCACGAACGAATGAATTGTATTTGTAATTCGAAATCAAGCAGTGAACAAGTACAAAGGAATCATTAGTTCATATAAATACCACATACACCACAGCTTATATAAGAATCCAAATTTCTGCAATCAATTCTACTTCCTCTCCTTATGTTCATTGTGTCTATCCAACCGTGTATTGGATGTGGACTATGTAGGATCTAGAATGTGCTCATTAGTATTAGAATTAAGAACTGAAATTGGAACGGACTCACCTAGGTCCTGGAATTATATACAATCATCATGTCGGTTGTGTACTGAAATCACTGATGACTAAAATTTGAACCATAGATTTTTCAAAATTGTCCTCCACCACGAAATAATGTTAGATCTTCATATCCCCAACTTATGAACGATATCGCTTCATTTAAATATAGTTCTCGCACTGACTAGTGTATTCATTAGAAGTGATTTGACGATAAGGATAAATAACAATCGATATGAAATCGTCCAAATTGTAATTCAAATAAAGCCTACTTAGTACTCGTGCATCGTATTGAACAAGTTTCCCACAAAAAGCAAATGCATAATGAGGATAAATAATATATGATATGACATCAGAATTTGATTCTTCTGAAATATTTTCCTCAAATTTATTAAGAATGTCACTACAGAGTGATGGATCATTAGAAAAATCAGCATCTAACAAAACTGA